TAGTCACAATAAATCAAATCAGAGCCGGCGCCTCATTAACATCTGATTAAAAACAGTGGAACCGAACACCAGCCTGAGATAAATCTCCTGATCCAATCATATTAGTCATTATTATTTAATTAAAATTAATGTGTTTACTGGTTTTAATGTGGAAATGAACGGACGTTGAATCATAAAAATTAATAATTACAAAGAAACGAAAAGATTAAAACGTGTAGGATAAAATACTTTTTTTTGTTTATAAAATCAGGTTCAAATATATATTTTTAAATCCCGTCGTTAACTCGGCGTGTTTGTTTTTCTGACATTTAAAAGACAATTATTGCTCGTTAATGTGTTTGGCTGCAGAAAAAAAAACCCTCTGTCAGGTCGTTACAAGTGAAGGTTGACAGATCTGACAATCGATAGGATCGATACGAACCGATCAATCGCATTGACATGAGTAGATCAAAAGCACACTTTTAGATCATTTAAATAAAATGATGATCGTTTATTTGTCACTTAAGTGATTCTTTATTTCTGCTTCTCACGGAGACGCAGTTTTGATCCGTGATCTCGTGCGTGATTTACGCGCAGCCACAAATGTGAGTTTTCAGTTTGAAAATAATCGGGGCTTTTTTGGGTTTTTTTTTTTTGGTCCAAACTACTTCTTTTATTATTCCCTCTTTGCGGTTTTTTGGTGCAATAGTGCGCGCTGATCAAGGAGCGTGCGCGGCGGCTACTTCTTCCCTGATCTAAGGTCAAATTAAAACAATACTAAAATAAAAAGTAAAAAATAAAATAAAAATGTTTCAATAATGTAGAAACAGAGTCTAAAAGGTCCAGAAAAAACACAAAAAATGTTCATGACAACGAAAACTAAACATTTAAATCTCAGTGTGATTTTTATAATAAAAAATATTTAGAGAAAAAAACAGATTTTAATTACATTTACTGAAGCGCAGGGAATATTTTGCAAAAACAAAAATATATATTTTAAAAAGATCCCGTGTTAAAACAAAATCATAAACTGATTTATTTATAATTAGAAAAGTGATGAAAACATAATTAAAAAGGTGAAAATTAAACTGATTGTTTGGGAAACTCGCGTCACAGAACCGCAGCAACAACAGCGGGACCAGGCGGTCGGTGTCAGCCGACTGTGGCTCACTGCGCTCGGCCATGGAAGCTAAAAGGCCCCGGGGAGTTTCCTGTGTCCGGAGGCTGCTGCTCATTGTCAAGGGAGGACGTGAATTAACAGGTGTTTTTCCGACTACTCTGTGTGTGTGTGTGTTTGCATGTATGCAAACATGCATGTGTGGTGGAGTGCGTGTGTACGAGGACGCGCATGGAACGCAGCAAATGCCGTTAATTGGGATTTAAAACAGTTTAAACTGGGACGAATTCTTTACGGATGTGAAGTCATTTCTCTAGAACATTCTTTTTTTTAAAAATAATTTCTTTTACTTTTTCCTGGTTAATGAGCCGTTGGTATTGTTTTCATTTAAAGTTCAACAATCATTTCGTAAAATACGATGGTTAAAAAAATCCAAGAATGAAATGATCTCGTTCACTTTGATTAAGATTAACGGTCCCGTTAACGCCCGGGAATCAGCCGCGTCTCTGTGTCCATGTGTTATATGTGGGGCATTAAACACCAGCCTCATCACGGGCTTTACTGCAGCCAAACTAACGGGGGGGGGGGGGGCAGTTAAAGCCACATGTCCTGGTCATGATGAGGGCTTCACTGCTGCACGGAAACTGGAGGTTTTCACTAAAAATAAACCAAACACTGGACCATTCAGTGGAGGGACAGAGCAGAGGGTTCAAACCCCCAAATACATGCACCACAGCGGGCCTGAGGTGAAGTGGACACGGAGGAGGTCCGGCTGGAGGACCGAGGTGAAGCAGGAAGGTCTGCAGGAGGAACCGTGTGGTTGAAAGAAAAAGGTTCTAGAAATCAGAACCAGTCAGTTCACTTAAATTACTGAAGTTATTTACATAACTGATGCACACACACACGCACGCACACACACACACTTATTAAGTGTTTTACAAGAAGTCACTTTCTAGTGCTAAATCCTCTGACGCGCTTTACGCGCAAACGTCCCGCGTCCAAACGCGCACACGGAGTCCACGACTCCTTCAGTCCACTTTTTTTTTTTACATTTTTTTACCTCCACGCGTGAAACCACAGAGACGCAGCATCAGTTGAAAGACCTCGGGGTCCGCGCAACAACAAAAAATAAAAATAAAAAGTGTTGAAGGACGCAGAGTCCGGACCGTCGGCAGAGACACTGGTGTGAACGAGCAGAGACGCGGAGTTACTCACGTCGCCGGGGGAGAGTCCTGGCTTTTCCTTCTTCTTCTTCTTCTTCTTCTGTCGAATCTTCAGATTCCTCCTTCTTTCTTTTTGTTTGTTAGTTTTTTTATCCTCACAACAAACAGGAAAACTTTTTTTTTCCTGCCGATCAGAAACAGTGGCCCCTCTGGCTCCTGCGCAGCGGCACCGGAGATAACGGGAAGCAAAAAGTAGTTAACACCTCCCTGTTAGGTTACCAAAGGAGGCGCACAGCAGCCACGGAGAGAGAGGGAGAGAGAGAGAGAGAGAGAGAGAGAGAGAGAGAGAGACTATGAGATCACGCGGTAAAGTGTAAAAAAAAAAGTGATTCTCTAAAATGACGCGTTCAAGATCCGGTGAAAACAGCACCGAGCAGTGAGAGGAGTGGAGCCGGTGGTGGAGGAAGGAGCGCAGGGTCGCTGCTGCTGCTGAAACGGTGGCAGGCAGTGGTGGTGCTGGAGTGAGGGGACGAGGAGGAGGAGGAGTGGAGGAGTGGAGGAGGAGGGGGCGCTGTACTGTGCTGTGCTGTAGTGTGGTATCTCACGGCGCTCAAAGGCGACGTGTGTTGTTGAGGCTGGAGTAGGGGAGGGGAGGGGGGAGTAGATGTGGAGGGGAGGTGACGGTGGTGGGTGAGGACAGGGTCCAGAAACTGGGGGACAGCTTCTCTTTTTCACCTTTAAAACCACCTGCACTTTCACTTTCGTCACCTTTGTTCCCAGCACCGATGACGTGTTTCCGTCAACACCACAGTGAAAACACGCTCCGACTGAGGAACATGGACCAGAACTGGACCTGCAGCTGCACCAGGAGAAGTACTTCAGTGTTTGAAGTATTTAAAAGTATTTTTCCCCGTACGGTACGGACGTTGTCTTGAAGACAGAGCTCAAACCCCTCAGTACGGTTCGATTCCCAGGGTGGTTTTCACTGCGCTTTGTGCGCAAAGTAAATGAATTACTCCCTCCCTCTCTCTCTCTCTCTCTCTCTCACACACACACACACA